TTTTTGTCTTTTTGAGACAGGGTCTTCCTGTAGCCCCAGCTGGCCTGGACCTCACTATGTAGACCAGGCTGGCCTTGAACTCAGAGATCTAGATCCACCTGCCTCTGCCTCCCAAGTGCTGGGACTAAAGGCATGTACCACCATGTCCAGCATTTTTCTAAATTTTTAAAAGATACATTTCTTTGTTATTGTGTGTGTACTTTGGGGGGAATGCACACATGCTATGGCATGCATGTGGACATCAGAGGACAGCTTGCGGGAGTCTGTTTTCTCCTTTTATCATGTGGCTTCTGGGGACTGAACTCAGGTCATCAGGCTTGGAATTTCATGCAAAGACATTTTATAAATGGCACAAGTACAACTCAGCAGGTTAAATGAACTTCTGAGGATCATGCACCTTCAGTCTCTTAACAGCAAAGATCTTTCCAGAACCCAAATCCTTTGAATGTAGAGAAAACAGCACAGCAAAACAAACGAGCAAAAAACTGCAAACAGTGAAAGAAGCCAGCCAAGTATTCCTTCCATCTCTTCACTCCCTCTCCCCTCATTCCTCAAGGCTCCATTAAGCACTGATTATGTGTGTGTCAGCCTCGGTTCTAGGCGCAGCATTAGAGCAGAGTCACTATCCTTGTGGGTAGGGCTTAGGCTGGTAGACCTTGAAGAAGTAAATGTCCCAGGATACCAGGAAATGACAGGTGCCATGAAGAAAAACAGAGCAGAATAAGGGGCCAGAGAGATGGTTGGTGTGATGTCTGGCAAATTCAGGGAACAGGAAGACCAGTGTGGTTAGATCCAAGAGAGGGAGGCTGAAAGCAAGGAGAGAGGTTCTATGGGCCAGGCTCTGATGCTGGGTGGCAGAGGTCTTGCAACTGGGGCCTGCACAGTAGCATGCTGTATGGTTGGAGGTGGTTTTCTAGTCAGGAGCATGGGAATCAGGGAGGGGGAGCAAGAACTGGCTCATATGGGCCAGTGAGATGGCTTAGCAGGTGGAGGTGCTTGCTCTGCAAGCCTGGTAGCCTGAGTTCGAGTCCTTGGTCTCACATGGAGGTGGAGGAAGAAAACCAACTCCACAAAGTTAAGTTGTCCTCTGATTTTCATACATGAACCATGACACATGTGCCCATGCACACACATCATGTACACACACCTGCACACAGTAATAAGTAAAATTTAAAAAAACAAAAACAAAAAACAGGCCGGGTGTGGTGGCACATGCCTTTAATCCCAGCACTCAGGAGGTACAGGCAGGTGGATCTCTGTGAGTTCAAGGCCAGCCTGGTCTACACGGAGAGTTCCAGGCCAGCTGGGGTTACAGGGAGACCTTGTCTAGAAAAGATTAAAAAAAAAAACGAAAAAAACAAAAAAATAAACAAAAAACAGAATTGGAGGGATGAATAGATGACTCAGTGATTAAGAGCACTGACTGCTCTTGCAGAAGACCTGGTTCCTAGCACCCACATGGCGTCAACTGTTTGTAACTTCAATCCAGCGGATCGAGCACTCTCTTCTGGCCCCTGTGGACATTGTACACATGAGGTATATTTACATACATGCAGGCAAAACACTTATACATATTAAATAAAAATCATTTAGAAAAAAAGGGGGGCTGGAGAGATGGCTCAGTGGTTAAGAACATTGGCTGCTTTTACAGAGGACCCAGATGTAATTCCCAGCATCCACATGGCAGCTAACAACCATCTGTAACTCCAGTTCCAGGGAATCTGATGCCCATTCTGGGCTCCACAGGCATTGTATATGCATGATGCACTTACATGCATACAGGCAAAACAGTCGTGCACATGAAGTAAAAAACAAATAAATAAATAATTAAAAAAATAATTGCTTCACACTTCTGATAAAGGATTCCCCTATGCTGTTCAAACAGAATGGAAACACCATTCAGAGTCCCTTGCATTCGGGTTAACTGACCAGGATTCACCTTTGAGTGTCAGGTTCAACATGCCCTATGGCCGAAGCCCTACACTTAGAACATGGTGGCCGGGGCCCATGGGTCAGTGAGCTTTATTGCTAGTAGAACCTTGAAGACCCAGCCTCCACACCCTGTAGACATGGAAAGACAGGGTAAAGATGAAAAGCTGTTTCTCAAAAGCTCTGCAGTAGTAGAGGTGGTACCTGGGTCTCAGGGGAAATAGGGGCTAAGTGTTCTGGCCCAAGGTAGGTTCAAGGTGCCTGATGCCTCTCTGGTCCAGGACGCTAGGAACAGAAACTCTTCTTCACAGTGTTTGACATGGGTCTTTGCTCAATGTATGCTAGTGGGATGCTCCCTTCACTTTGTCTACCACAGAGAAAGGAAAGTTTCTGGCTCTGGATTTGGGAGGAACTAACTTCCGGGTCCTTCTGGTGAAGATCCGAAGTGGACGGAGGTCAGTGCGAATGTACAACAAGATCTTTGCCATCCCTCTGGAGATCATGCAGGGTACTGGTGAGGAGGTGAGTGCCAGGCCTGGGTGGGGGCCACCACACTGACCAGTGCCTGCCTTACATGAAGGCTGCTCTCTCTCTCTGCAGCTGTTCGATCATATTGTGCAGTGCATTGCTGACTTCCTGGAGTACATGGGCCTCAAGGGAGCCCAGCTACCTCTGGGCTTCACGTTCTCCTTTCCCTGTAGACAGATGAGCATCGACAAGGTGAGATGGCCCTTCTGGGGTATTTCAAGGTTCTTTTATGTCTATACTTACATTATGGTTTTATTTTATTTTTGAGTCAGGGTCTCATTTTGCCTGTGTAGCCAAGGGTCACCTTGAACGTCTGTTCCTCTGTCCTCCATCTCTGGAGTGCTGGAATTGTATACATCACCATGCCCAATACATGCAGTGCTGGGAGTTGAACCCAGGGTTCCATGCATGCTAGGCAAGCATTCTACTGACAGAGCTACATTCCCAGGCCACTGCTCACACTATTTAGGGCCTCACAGGCTCAGAGCAGTTGGGAACACATAGTGTAGAGGATTTTAACCATTTACCTGTTTTCCGTTTACCATATTCCATTTCTCCTTATTTTGGGTGTTGAAATTCACAAAAGAATTAATGGTCATTCCTTGGTATTCAAAGGGGATTGGAGGTGGGATCCACAATCCATAGCCACTCGAGTTCTATATATAGAATGGCATAGTGCCCACCTAGGCCTTACATATCCTCCTGAATACCACGAGTCACCTCTAAATCACTGAAAGTAGTGCGATATAAATGCTGTGGAGAGAGCCAGGGAGGCCGCTGTAGGGAAGATCGGTGAGGAGAGTCTACACTCAGCACACATGTAGTTTCTTTTTCTGAATATTTTCTTTAAATATTTTATTTTTATTTTCATTTTATATATATGAGTGTTCTCCCTGCATATGTTAAGTACATCATGTTGTGCAATGTCTGGGGAGGTCAGAAAAGTTATGGACCATTATTACCTGCTGTGTGGGTCCTGGGAACCAAACCTGGGTCATTTGCAAGAGCAGCCGGTGCTCTCAACTGCTGAGCCATCTCTCCAACCCCTTTCTGAATATTTCTGATCCATGGTTGGTTAGATCTGAGGAGTGGTCCCCTCAAATATGGCCTAGTATGCAGGAAAGGGGCATGACACATGCATGACCCTGGAAAGAGAAGTGAAATCATGTAAGGTGCGTTTGTGAATTTTTTTAAAGTTCTGTGCAGTTGTTTGAGGACTATTTTGTTCGGTGAAAAAATATAGCAGATCCATATTACATGACCTGGAAAGGTCTCAGCAATGCATTACTGAGCAAGAAAAACAAATGGGAGCAATTCACACAAAATGTTTATTTACTTAAAAATGCACATAAGGGACTGGAGAGAGGGCTCAGAGGTTAAAAGCTCTGACTGCTCTTGCAGAGGACCCGGGTTTGGTTCCCAGCACCCGCATGGCAGCTGACAACCATCTGTAACTCCAGTTCCAGGGGATCTGATGCCCTCTTCTGACCTCTGCGGGCATTGTATGAGATGAGTGCACTTATACACATGCAAGCAATATACTCATACACATAAAGTAAAAATAATAAAATGTTTTTTAAGTGCACATGGGCAGAGAGAGAAAAATCTGGAAAGATTCTAATTGTACTTATAGTGGAGGTTATTCTCAGATTGAGGGATGGGGAATTAATGGGGGATTTATTTTATCAGTAACATTTTAGTTAGGTTCTTTTTTCAAGACTTATGTACCTCTGTGCTATTGCTGCCATTAAAAATGGGTGGACTGTGTGGGAAGGAGTCGTGTGCAGCTGTCAGTGGTTCTGAAAGATTGATGGGCCCTGGAACTTAGTTGGGCCTCTGACCCAAAGCACTGACATTTCAGGACTCTCCTCATCTAAGGTGAAGAGGGTGACCATCTGGGAGCAAAGTCACCAATGGCTGCAGAGGAAAAAGAAAGATTATATATTATTTTTGTGTGGTTTCAGTTTATAAGAAATAGGCTTTTCAGTTTAAGCTGTGCTCTATGGATTAACCAATAAAGAGGCAAGAAGGCCCAGTGTCTTGAGGACTGTGGGGAGGACACCTGAGGCTTATTGCCTGAGGGCCTCCATGGTGTCTCACCAAGGGTTGGGTGCTGTCCATCAACTCTATGGGCCACCTGTCCTGGCCCAGCACCGCACTCCACCTGCTGTCCCCACTCCCAGCTTTCTAAACTATAGAACTGGGCTAGATGAACTCGTGTTTCAAGCTAACAGCATCCTTCTAAATGTTAAAATGCTACCTTTTCAGAATTATGAAAATTACACATTTTTATTTTAGGAAAGGTAGAAAACACAGACAAATAAGAATGTAAGACTAGCTGGGCATGGTGGCACACACCTTTAATCCCAGCACTTGGGAGGCAGAGGCAGGTGGATCTCTGTGAGTTCAAGGCCAGCCTGGTCTCCATAGTGAATCCAGGCCAGCTAGGGCTACAGGGAGACCCTGTCTCAAAAAGACCAAAAAAAAAGTAAGACTAAAAGGTGTTCATAATCTTGCACTCAGCAAGAGCCAGTCAACCCTCTTGGGATACATATGGTTCTAGATATTTTTTCCTAGCTTCAAGTGTCTGTGTACTTTTAAAAATAAAAGTGGAGCCAGGTGTGGTGGCGCATGCCTGTAGTCCCAGCACTTGGGAAGACAGAGGCAGATGGATCTCTGTGAGTTCAAGACCAGCCTGGTCTACATAGTGAGTTCTAGGACAGCTGGGGCTGCAGGGAGACCCTGTCTCAAAAAGACCGAAAAAAAAAAAGATAAATAAAAAAAATAAAAGTGGAGGGCTGGAGAGATGGCTCAACGGTTAAGAGCACTGACTGCTCTTGCAGAGGACCCAGGTTTGATTCCCAGCACCCACATGGCGGCTACGAACCGTCCTTAACTCCAGTTTCAGGGGATTCCGAAGCCCTCTTCTGATCTCCCGCGGCATCGAATGACACAGGTGCACTCACATGCATGCAGGCAATACACTCATATACATAAAATAAAAATAATAAATAAAAATTTTTTTAAAGTGCAATAATTGTCTATTTGTATTTGTTTAATAGCTTTCATTTAACAGTGTATATAAATGCAGTTATCTAACATTCACTGTTCCCTTACAGTGGCTAAGACAGTAGGTCTCCTTGATATTGGAGTGATGGTGGAGTGATGGGATGGATGCCCCTGACTTTTCACTGAGGAAAGATAATTTGACAAACCTTGTTTAACTGCCCATGAAGATATCTCAGTTTGTCATAGATTCGGTGGAAGTGGGATCATTCATGCTCCAGAGTCTGTGCAGCAGTGACAGTGACACATCTGACTCTTGAAGAACATGTGGAGCTGCTGAGAGCCCAGTGCAGTAGCCCCTGTCTGGGCCATGTTAGGCTGCAGCCGTGAAACATGATCCAAAGCACATTTGTTCTACCAGTGACCAGACTCAGTGTCTATTAGATGTTGAGCTGCTCTGTGGTCCTAGTGAACTGCTGCTGATGAAATCCCCCTGCTTTGTTCCAGGGAACACTCGTAGGGTGGACCAAAGGCTTCAAGGCTACTGACTGTGAGGGGGAGGACGTGGTGGACATGCTCAGAGAAGCTATCAAGAGGAGAAATGTAGGCTCTGGTGGGGAGGCTCAAGTTGCCCCTTGCCCCTTTCCCCTGTACCCTCTGCTCTGCCATCCTATGCCCAGGCTCTGTGGTTCAGCCCTTGGGCTACCCTGGGCTGATGTGCCCCCTGCTCCTTTTGCTTCCAGCAGAGCTGCTTCTTTTTCAGGAGTTTGACCTGGACATAGTTGCATTGGTGAATGACACGGTGGGGACCATGATGACCTGTGGCTATGAAGATCCTAAGTGTGAAATTGGCTTGATTGCAGGTAAGTAGTCAGGTATGGTCCACTGGCCTGGTCCCATCTGACCCTCTTGAGGGCTGGTGGGGGTCACTGCTCCATTGTCAGAGTCTTGTCTAGAGATGGGCGCAATGTCTCCCCCACCCCTTTACCCTCTCTTATCACCCCCCATCCACCCACTTTTTCCTTCTTCCCAACCAATAGCATTTTCAATTGATGGCCATTGTCTTGGGAGGAAGGAGACCACGGTTGGTTAAGTGGCATGGAGCTGAGGAGCTGGGCTCTAACTCTGACTCTGCTCCATACATCCCTGTTCCCTGGATTCCTCTGGCTCTCTAGGTGCATAGGAACAGGTGGGGGTAGGGGAAGTTGGAAGGAAGCTCAGATGGAGGGAGGAGTGGCCCGAGGTAATACAGGCCCTCTAGGGAAGAGTCTCTAAGAGCCTGGGGACAGGTGGAGATGAGCACAAAGGGCCTTTGCTAGTGACAGGCACAGCTGAGCAGTGACAGGACTGGGGAAGTAGTTAAGTAGTTTCAGGACTTGTCTGGGCTTCCTAAATAAGAGCAGAAGGTGGGGCAAGCAGACACAGATCCACTGAGAGGCTCAGGTCCAGTGAGGCTCCCCTTCCTCAGACTTCCACCTACTTGTGAGCTTGAGCAGGCTGAGCATTCTATCTCTTCTGAATTTCCTCGCCTGTAGGAAGGCTGGGCCAGATCCAAGAGGCCACCTTATGTGAGTGAATATAATAGGTACCTGGTCTGGACTGCTGTGTGGAGGGAGTTCTGGAGCCAGGTCATGGGGAAGGGAAAAAGAGTGGCTTCTGCACCAGATGTCCACTTATCCAAGATTAGACTATTCCTTATGGCCCCTTCCAATGCTGACAGCTAAGTCTGTGGCTCTTTGGAAGCTTTGTTTGCCTTTGGGCTGATGATGATGATGATGACAGAGAAGATGGCAGGACCATTCATTGGCTACTTACCATGTGGAGAAAACTTAGGAACATCTCCTCATCTTTTCTTCATAAGAAGTCCATAAAGCTCTTAGGGCTGGCCAGCTGAGTGGGAAGCTGAAATTCTGCCCAGCTGTAGCCCAGTCCCTGACTTAATCATGGCCCTCTGTTACCTCTCTCAGACCTAGCAGTATCTTGACTAAAGTCCCATCGCAATTCCTTCCAGGGACCGGAAGCAATGTATGCTACATGGAGGAGATGAGGAACATCGAGCTGGTGGAAGGGGATGAAGGGAAGATGTGCATCAACACAGAGTGGGGTGGATTTGGAGATAATGGCTGCATAGATGATATTTGCACTCAGTATGACAAGGAGGTGGATGAGGGATCCTTGAATCCTGGCAAGCAGAGGTGAGGAGGGAGACTGTCCAGTTCACGCCACATATTCAGAGAGTGACTCCACCAGACCAAGGGAGCAGTTCTGTGTTTGTATCATCAACATGATTTCTTTCTCTACACTTACTATACCTCTCTGTCAGATGTCAGGGAGGGATCTTACTGGAATGAAAGAACACTCTCATGATGTTTCTCACAGGCAGAAGCAAGGGGTCCCTTTTCTAATTATAAGGCACCATAAAGGCTAGTGGGGGCACTCTGGAAGTGAGTCAGAAGTTGTCCGAATGTCTGTTGGCTGGGTGCCTGAGTGCCACAGAGCAGGGGTGTGGTGATCTAGTGAATCCTCAGATGGGCTTTTACTAGGTCCAATTTCGAGGTCAAGGTCCTTAGCCTTTTAAGGTCAGTGAGCTCTGTGGGGTGGGGGAGGGGGTCCCTGGGATGGAAGGGAGAGCTTCTTCTCAGCATGATGTCACATCTTACCATGGCTTACAGACCCTCCAGTTGCCAACTATACTAAAAAGACTGAAGATAATGAATGACTTTTAAATACCTGACAGGAGATTTCCACCCATATTCTGATGCATGTTCGTGAGTGGGAGAGAAAAGGCTAGACAGAGGTACAGCTAGCATGGTAGGCCTCAGCTGTGAACCTGGGCCTTCCTCTGGAACAGGTTGGCAAACCTTTTCTGTAAAGGGCCAGGCAGTGTTTTAGATTTGATGAGTCATATGGTCTCTGTCCCAGTTAAGCTTGGTATCATAATACATAAACTAAGGGGAAACAGATTTATTATGATGGGCGGTGAGCAAGTTAGATACTGAAGAAGTTAGAACTGTGCTGAGACCTGGGCACCTTGGGGTCTGCTGAGCTGAACATTGTATAGGAAGAGGCTTGAGTGAGGACAGGATGGGGCTAATGGTCCCTACCCTGCTTTGACAGCTTTGTGACTGGAAGGCAGGTAAGGTGGAAGCCAGGTTAATCAGGGTTTGTTCCAAGAAAAAGAGACCTCAGGCTGGGGACATAGCTCAGTGGTAGAGCACTTTCCTAGCACGCATAAAGCCTTGGGTTCAATTCTCACCTCTGCTTTAAAAGAAATGGGACTTTATCTCTGAATCCTGTTTGGACATTTGAGTACTGTGGCTCTTTTCAAGGGGCAGGTTTCTGAGTTTTGTGTCTGTCCACTGGAGACACATTTCTTGACTGAGAGTTTACTGGGGCATTACTTGAATTTGCCTTGTAGTCACCATTGTTTATTTTTTTATGGTGTCCTGAACAGTTGAGGGTACAAGGCCAGAACACAGGGAGTTTTTTGTTTTGTTTTGTTTTTGAATTTTTGTCTTTTTGAGGCAGGGTCTAACTGTAGTCCCAGCTGGCCTGGAACTTACTATGTAGACCAGGCTAACCTTGATCCAAAAGCCATCTGCCTGTCTCTGCCTCCTGAGTATTGGAATTAAAGGTGTGCTCTACCACACCTGGCCAGCATGTAGGTCTTAATGGGCTCACATCTTCATTCACCTCTGCAGATAAGGGGGAGTTCAGCTCCCTAGCACTGTTAGGGACAGCATGGGATCCTGCTCATGTGTGCAGAGGGCTTCTCAATGCCAGTGTTTCCTAAGTCCTGTTCCCTTTCACTGCTCATCCCTTTAGAGCTCAGTGGAAAGGGAGAAAGGAACAGACATATTTTTTAGCACCTTCCAAGAGTTGGTACTTTAGATGTTAGCTCACAGGGGTGATTTCTAATGGGACAGATGTCTTCAAGATAGAGCTGATGACTCTGTATCTAAGGCAAAATGACAAAGCCAAACAAAAAAGCAGAGATTTCTAGAAGAACAGGTTGGCAGCACAAAACCAGGGAGTCCTGTAGTCTTTGGTGCCTTGCTTTGTTCTCTGGTTGGCAGATGAAACTCACAGTGCTGGCTTACATCACGTGGCCAGGTGTGGGAAGCTGGGGCCTGGCTCACTGTCGCTATGACTCCAAAGCCTGGCTTTCTCACACCACACTATCCTCTAAGTCAGACGTCTCTGGCTCTATTGAGGAGAGAGCCTCCCTAGGCCATTCTGAACTAGGGCCTCAGGTGCCGGTGGCATGCCTTCCACACCTAGACCTAGGTCCTTTCAGAAGCTACTTTCTGCCCTCACCACCCTTGTCCTTCTTCTCCAAACAGATACGAGAAAATGACCAGCGGGATGTACCTGGGTGAGATTGTGCGGCAGATCCTGATAGACCTGACCAAGCAGGGGCTCCTCTTCCGAGGACAGATTTCAGAGCGACTCCGGACCAGGGGCATCTTTGAAACCAAATTCCTGTCCCAGATTGAAAGGTGATGTATGATCGAATTTACTTACTCAGCTCTGGAAGGGGTGGTTGTCATCACAACATGGGTGGGCAAGTTTAAGATTTGAAAATGAAGGCAAGACAGGGAATATAGCTCAGTTAGTAGAGTTCTTGCCTAGTGTGCATGAAGCCTTGGGTTTGATCCCTGGTACCTCTATAACCAGGTGAGGTGGTGCACATGGGTAATTCTAGAACTTGGGAGGTAGGAGGATCAGAAGTCAAGGTCATCCTTGGCTACATAGTGAGTTTGAGGCCAGCCTGGTATACGTGAGACCCTGTCAAAAGAAAAGAAGAAAAGGGAAGAAAGAAAGAAGGAGAGAGGGGGGAAAAAGGAATCAAGAGAGAGAGAGAGAGAGAGAGAGAAAAGTAAGCAGGAAGGCCTGACTAGGCATGCAATTGACCCAGGATTCCTCTCTCTATTGGCATCAGATCACAGCCCAAAGGTCAACACCCTAGGTGTAGCCTCAGGTCACTAGTGTAACCTCAGGTCACTAGTGTAACCTCAGGTCACTGGTGTAGCCTCAGGTCACTGGTGTAGCCTCAGGTCACTAGTGTAACCTCAGATCACTGGTGTAGCCTCAGGTCACTGGTGTAGCCTCAGGTCACTGGTGTAGCCTCAGGTCACTGGTGTAGCCTCAGGTCACTGGTGTAGCCTCAGTTCACTGGTGTAGCCTCAGGTCACTGGTATAGCCTCAGGTCACTGGTGTAGCCTCAGGTCACTGGTGTAGCCTCAGGTCACTCAAGCCCAAAGGACTGGGTTCTCTACCCAGGATCTAAAAGGACTACACAAGAGTTAAATTAGACATAATCCTCCTTTATTTCCAAAAAGATGGCATGCCTAGGGAAAAAAATCACCCATATAACTGGGCGTGGTGGCACATGCCTTTAATCCCAGCACTCTGGAGGCAGAGGCAGGCAGATCTCTGAGATCCAGGCCAGCCTGGGCTACACTGTGAGTTCCAGGTCAGCCTGGGCTGCAGGGAGACCCTGTCTCAAAAAGACAAAAAAAGAATCACCCATATGCTTGTTACCAAATGCAAATGTTTTGGCTTTTGTGTGTTATATTCCCTTTTAAGTTCTTGAATATATGCAAACTTTTTTTGATAATTGCAGTCATTACATTTGACATTCACGTATTGTTTATTCAGTGTTTGATCATAGAAAATTTTATTTACAATTCTGTTTTATTGTTGTTTGTTATTTGAGATGGGGCCTCATGTAGTCCAGGTTGGTTTCAAAGTTGCAATGTAGGTGAGGATGGCTTGGAATTCATGATCCTCCTACCTCTGCCTCTAAGTGCTGGGGTTACAAGTGTGACTTGTACTTGCCTATCATGCCTGGCTTCTGGTTTTTATTTTACTATTTAATTAAGAGATATTTTAAACACATACAGAAGTAGAACATCAGTGAAATGAACGCTGTGTTTCTAGCATCTCTAACAAAGACTGATTCACCACCAAACCCAGTTGTCAGTACCTCCTCTTGCCTCTGCCTCAGGCTGGGTGAATTTGAAACGAAGCCCACACTTTTGGCAGTTCGTTTATAAATATTTCAAAATGTATTTCTAAAGTAGGAGCTCTTAAATAACCACAGTGCCGTTATCATTCTTTATATAGCTAATGTCACCTTGATAGCAAAATATCTTCTTAGAGTTCTTGTTTCCTAAATTGCCCAAAAAGCAAAACCAAAAGCAAAACGAATCTGTTGACTTGTTGGCATTAGTATCCAAACAGGGTCCTTCAATGACATTTGCTTGGTATATGCTTCTAAATCTCTTTTAATCTACAGTTTTTTCTTCCCTTTCTTATTTTCTTTAATGACGTAATTGTTACAGAAACTGTCCTAGTTTGTTTCTCCATTGCTGTGACAAAATACTCTGACCAATACCAACTTGGGGAGGAAAGGCTTTATTTGTCTTACATCTCCCGGGTCACAGTTCATCAGGGAGCCCAAGGCAGGAACTCAGGGAAGGAACCCGGAGGCAGAAGCTGGAGCACAGGCCATGGAGGAACACTGCTTACTGCCTTGCTCCCCTGGCCCCTGCTCAGCCTGCTTTCTTATGCAACACAGGCCCACCTGCCCAGGGATGTCACCACCCCCAGTGGGCTGGGCCCTCCCACATCACTCAACAATCAAGAAGATGCCCCATGGACATGACCACAGGCCAGTTCAATGGAGAGAATTCCCCAATTGAGGCTCCCTCTACCCAAGTGTGTCAAGTTGACACATTAAAGCTATCCAGCACAGAAACTATCATCTTATCCTACAAGTTTTCTGAGTTCCAGATTGTGCTGATTGTAGCACTTAGCACATTACTCCATCGCTTGTATTTTCTGGAAATCTTATAGTCTCCCTGGATGCTCAGTCAGATTAAGTGTTAAGTTTTGGACAGGTGGTGAACTGTCTGCCCCTGTCTCATCTATGTTCTTACGTGTCATTGGTGCCTGTGTCTGGGTCTGTTATTTCATTAATATAAACTGTTGCAACTCTAATGTTAGCATTGCACAAATTAGCTGGACCGCTTATAGAAAGAGAACTTCCTTTTATCAGCCCTTTAGTGTAATTATCATTTCAAATAGCTACATAAAAGTTAGTTGTTAGTATACTATAATTTTCTAAATTTCCCATTTAATAGGTTGTAATTTATGACTTTTTGTTATTCTGAGTATCACCATAATTATTCTTTTTGCTCACAGTTATTTGCATCTTATGAATTATTTATGTAGGAGTAGAAACATTTGAGAAAAGGAGCACTTCCTATGGTCACTTACTTCCCCTTGGACATGTTCTTTTTAAGAACATAGTTTCAGGGCTGGGGATATAGCTCAGTTGGTAGAGGGCTTGTCTAGCATTTAGGAAGCCCTGGGTTTCATTCCCAGCACGATATAAATTGGATGTGGTGGTACATGCCAATAATCCCAGCACTTGAGCAGGTCAGGCTGCAAGGGAAAGGTTCAAGGTCATCTTCAGCTACATGGCAAGTTCAAGTTCAAGGCCAGCCTGGATGTAAGAGACCCTGCCTAAAAAAAAAGCCAGGCATGGTGGCACACTCCTTTAATCCCAGTGCTTGGGGAGGCAGAGGCAGGCCTAGCAAGTTCTAGGCTGGTAAAAAAAAAAAAGAAAAGAAAAGAAAAAGAAAACAAAACAAAAAAGGAGTTCAAGGTCATCCTCAGCTACATAGTGAATTTGAGGCCAGATTTCCAGAAATATTTGCTTCCATGGGGCCGAGGAGATGGCTTAAGTGGTTAAATGGTTAAACATTTGCTCTGCAACCTTGAGGTCTGGCATTCAGATCCCCAGAAACCCATGGAAATCCTGGGTGGGTATGGCATCCTGCCTGTAATTCCATCCTCAGTAGGTGGAGACAAGGTCCCCAGAGCAAACTGGCTAGTGAGACTAGTCTAGGTTTGTCTTTCTTTGTTTGAGACAGTCTCCCTGTAGCCCCAGCTGGCCTAGAACTCACTATGTAGACCAGGCTGGTCTCAAACTCACAAAGATCCGCCTGCCTCTGCCTCCCAAGTGCTGGGATTAAAGAGTGCACCACCACACCCAGCTTAGTCTAGGTTTGAGGAGAGACCCTGCCTCAATGAATAAGGTAGAAGAGCAATATAGGATGATTCCTGATCTCAGCCTTGGGGCTTCCACATGTACGTGCAACCATATGTATGTCTACACATGAAAACATGTACATACATACGTACACATGCATACCATACACACATGAAAAAACTGGAGACAGAAATATTTGCTTTTGCTTTTGGAGGCTTTGATTTCTGTAGTTCCTTAAGCCTTCATGGAATAAGAAGAAAACCATCACGTCTAGTGCCAGCTGGGAAGTGGTAGGCGCTGTGCTGACTCTGGGCCATTTCAAGCTTGACAACCATAGTCAGTCTTAGTCAAGAGCCTGGGTCTCAGTTTCGTCCGAGTCTAAGCTTCATCCCTGCCTCTTAGCTTATTTATGCTGTATGACCTGAGGCAGGCTGCTTCACATCTCTGGACCTCTCTCTCCTGCGTTAGAAGATATAATTTAACTGTCAGACTTTCTCTGAGGATTGCGGAAGAGAATGTGCAGGAAAGAAGCCGGCAAATGTGAAGAAGCCTGGAAGGAGTTACAGGCTTTCTTTTTTTATATTTTTTAATTTATTTTTATTTTATGCCTATGTGTTGCCTGCATGTTTGTAAGTACACCCATGTGTGCAATGTTCACAAAGGTCAGAAGAGGGTATTGGATCCTCTGGAATTGGAGTTATGGATGGTTTTTAACTACCATGTGGGTCCTAGAAACTGAACTCGGTCCTCTGCAAGAGTAGCCACTGCTCTTAACCACTGAGCCATCTCTCCAGCCCCAGGCTTTCTTTTTTATAAGCTCTAAAATAACCCTTTTAAAATAATACATAAATGTTACTCATTTTAGAAATGCATTTAAAAATGCAGATAGCCAAGCGTGGTGGCACATACCTTTAATCCCAGCACTCAGGAGGCAGAGGCAGGTAGATATCTGTGAGTTTGAGGCCAACCTGGTCTATGTAGTGAGTTCCAGGCTATCTGGAGTTCCAGGGAGATCTTGTCTCAATAAACAACACAAAACACAATGAAAACAAAACAAATAAATGGGCCAACAAGATGGCTTGGCAGGGACAAACATTTGCTGCCAAGACTGACCATCTATGAGTTTTAAAAAATATTTTATTTATTATTCTTTATTTTAAGTGTATGTGTGTATTGTCTGCATGTAGGTAAATGCACCCATGTCATGCAATGCCCGGGGAGGCCAGAAGAGGCTGTTGGATCCCCTGGGACAGGAGTTACGGACAGTTGTTAGCTGCCATGTGGGTGCTGGGATTCGAACCCAGGTCTTCTGCAAGAACAACCAGTGTTCTTAACCACTGAGCCATCTCTCCAGCCCTGACCATCTATGAATTTGATCCCTGGACCCACATGATGGAAGGAGAGAACCAACTCCTGCAAGTTGTCCCATAGCCTCCACATGTGTGCTATAGCATACCTGTGCCCATATACATACATACATACATACATACATACACACAATAAATAGATAAATGCAAAAAAACTAAATCCAGATAAGGAGTCAGTGGTGGAGTGCTTATCTAGCACACCGGGGGCTCTGGGTTTGATCCCCAGCACTGCAAATAAATAAAAATTTTAAAATACAGGAGCTAGAGTGATGACTCAGCAGTTAAGAGCACTGATTGCTCTTGCAAAGAACCCAAGTTTGGTTCCTAGTAGCTGCATAATGGCTAACATCCATCCACTGAACTCAAGTTCCAGGGAATCTGATGCCCTCTTCTGGCATCCATGAGCATTGCACACATGTGATGCACTTACATACATGTGATGCACTTACATACATGTAGGTAAGATACTCTTACACATAAGATAAAAATTAATTAATTAATTAAAAAATACAAATAAGCTGGGGCTGAAGAGATGGCTCAGCTGTTAAGAGCACTGGCTCTCTTGCAGAAGACCCAGGTTCAAGTCCCAGCACCCACATGGCATCTAACAACCATCTGTAACTCCAGTTCCAGGAAATCCAATGCCCTCCTTTGTCTTCCATGGGTACTTCATGACACTGGTGCACTTATATACACAAAAAGATAACATTCATACACATAAAATAAAAATAAATCAAAAAAATTTTAACTACAAATGAGACAATAATCTATATGAAAAAAAAATCTTAAAACCTGACCAATATATGAATATCTTTCCTTCTGCTTTTTTTTTTTCTGTGCAAGGACAAATACCAAAATAAACTCACTAAAGCAAAACAAAACAAAGCACACACATCAATATACAAGACTAAACAGCACATGGTGCCTTATTACCCATTGTTTCGCTATGGCATGAACCTCATGAAAATGCATCTTCAGGGTCTGTAAAACATTCTGTAGTCTGGCTGGACTCCTGGCCACCCGCTGTCCTCTGCCTGGCCACAGTGGTTGCTTGTCAGTCATTCTTTTTTGTGTGAAAGATTTGTTTTTATTATTTTTAACCATGTATGTGTGTATGGGGTGGTAGTATGTAATGTGAATACAGGTACCCTCAGAAGCCAGAGGTGACAGATCTGCCTGGAGCTGGAGTTATATGTGGCTGTCAGCTGCCTGGCATGGGTGCTAGGAATTGAACTTGGGTCCTCTGTAAGAGCAGGAAGTGCTCTTAACCACTGAGCCATCTCTCCAGCCCCCTAGGTCATTCTTTCTTGAGGGTACTCATCTTTCCTATGGTTCACTGAAGCAAGGATGCACATTCACATGATTTAGCTTGAGGCTCACAAGTAGTAAATATCATTGGCTCACTATGAGTTAATCAGTGTCTAGACTTGAGGCTAGCTTATCCCTATTATGCCATTTCTCTGAACATGTTCATTTTTAAATTGTTTTTATTGTTTGAGAAGTTCATACATGCATATAATGTGCTTTGATCAAATTCAGCCCTCATTTCCTTCTCTCTAATAAGGGGAGGAATTCCCTTATTCCTACCACCACTGTTCCTTCCCAGTTTCATATGCTACTTTTTCTAAGCTCCCTGAGTCCACTTAGTGCTGACAGTATGTGAATGGGTGTAGGCTCATCTATTGGAGCATGGGTAGCCTCTCATCCCTGAAGAAAACCAGCTTTCCCTCTGCCAGCAGCCATCAATTGTCAATAGCTCCTCAACTAGGGATGGGATGTTGTGACCCCACCTCCTCCATCCATGCTGGGATTTTGTGTGTCTTGATTTTGTGTAGGTCTTGTGTGTGCTGTCACAGCTTGTTGGGAGCCATGCTTGACATAAGCATAGGAAAAAAGAAGTGTGCCACTTTAGGAGCTTCTGAGCTCTCTGCTTCAGCGGTCTGAGCCGGCAGGCTGTGCCTCCATGATTAATTAGGTCTTCTAGAAACTTAGTTTCGCTTCTGTCTTCGGGCACCAGAGTTGGTGATGTAATGCAGCTATGTGCTGTGTCCTTAGTTACTTTCTGTTAGTAAAATATCCTTGGTGATTCCTTGGTTACCCAAAATCTGATTCCTATATAAGATCTGTGTTCCTCACAACAAAAAGCCATTCTGTGGTTGCTCACCTGACTGTCAAAAATTAAACTTTTATAATTAAATCAAGACCTTTGTCTTGACTCTTCTCTTGTTGAAGCTCCAAGCCTGGTGGGCTTGGGGGGCGTTCTACAAATGGCGCCCAACATGGGACACGAACCCATGACCCTGAGATTAAGAGTCTCATGCTCTACCGACTGAGCTAGCTGGGCAAAATTAATAAAATGCAATTAGAAGAACACACAACCTAATACAAAGAAGCTCTATGCTGAAATGTTAAAGTTTCAGGACCCGATGTACCATCTGTATTATAATGTTATAAGAAGTGAGTAAAAATAATCATACTCCAAGAGGTAGAAGACAAGTAGTGGTTCCACACAAGAATGATCTCTGCAAGGAAAAGAGCAACCTTATATACTTACTTACAAGGTAAGTAACCAAAGTAAAATGAAACAAATTTAACAAATGGAAATGTAAATCAATAATGTGGCAACACTGTAGGCAGGGAGATATCAATTATTAATAGAGAGGTCCCTGTAAAAAAAAAGAGTGACCTTAAAACACAATATAGGTACTTAAGGTAATGTGAAACAAACGTGAAAAGAACAACTTAAAATACGCTTTTAAAGAAAATAAATTGAGTTTGAACTCAATAGCAATTGATTTATGTTAATTGATTAAACCCAACATTTATTAGAGGACCTGAAGTAGTTTTAGATTTTAAAAGAATCTCAAAGCAGGGTCCAGCAAACCTTCAAGTAAAAGGAACTAAGAGACAAAACTTAACAAAGATTACTAATAAAGGTATACAGCACACACAAGACCTACACAAGATCAAGACACACAAAATTCCAGCATGAATGGAGGAGGGGGGGTCACAACATCCCATCCCTAGTTGAGGAGCTATTGACAACTGATGGCTGCTGGCAGAGGGAAAGCTGGTTTTCTTCAGGGATGAGAGGCCCCACGTTGGGCGCCATTTGTCGACTGCCCCCCCCAAGCCCACCAGGCTTGGAGCTTCAACAAGAAAGAACCCAAGACCAAAGTCAAGACAAAGGTTTTGATTTTACTATAAAAAGTTTAATTCTTAGCAGTCAGGTGAGCAATCACAGAATGGCTTTTTGTTGTGAGGAACACAGATCTTATATAGGAATCAGATTTTGGGTAACCAAGGAATCACCAAGGATATTTTACTAACAGAAAGTAACTAAGGACGCAGCACATAGCTGCATTACATCACCAACTCAGGTGCCTGAAGACAGAAGCGAAACTAAGTTTCTAGAAGACCTAATTAATCATGGAGGCACAGCCTGCCGGCTCAGACCACTGAAGCAGAGAGCTCAGAAGCTCTTAAAGTGGCACACTTCTTTTTTCCTATGCTTATGTCAAGCATGGCTCCCGACAACAGCCGCTCTGAGTTCATGTGTCCAACTACCCTGTTGTGTCTTGAGAACAGTGTCATTATAGTCATCCACTACCTCTGGCTCTTACAGTCTTTCTGTCTCCTCTTCTGCAATGATCCTTGGGCCTTGGAAAAAGGGAGTGTGATACAGCTGTCCCACTTAGGACCGACACTCCACAGTCTCTTATTCTCTGCACACTGAGCAGTTGTGGGTCTGTGCTAAGGTTTCCCATTCTTTTTTTTTAATATTTTATTTATTTTTATTTTATGTGTATGAATGTATTGCATACACGTATATAATAAGTGCACCTGTGTTGTAGAATGCCAGCAGAGGTCAGAAAAGGGTGTCTGATCCCCTAGAACTGGAGTTATGAACAGTTCTTAGCTGCCATGTGGGTGATGGGAACTGAACCCAGGTCTTCTGTAAGAACAACCAGTGCTCTTAAATACTGAATCATTTCTCCAGGCTGGTTTCCCACTCTTCTTTAAAATTTTTTTTTTTAATTTTTAAATTTTATGTGTATGACTGTCTTGCCTGCATGTATGTAAGTGCACTCATGTCATGCAAAGCCTGCAGAGGTCAGAAGAGGGTGTCAAATTCCCTGGAACTGGAGTTATGAACAGTTGTTAGCTGCCATGTGGGTGCTGGGACCCAAACTCAGGTCCTCTGCAAGGGCAGCCAGTGCCCTAACTGCTGAGCCATCTCTCCAGACTGGTTCCCCTTCTTGAAGATGCTGTTATATCTTTGTATTCATTTAGTCACTCCATCATTGAATGTCCCCAACCCTATGCTGGCTACTGTTGAGAAGATAGCTCAACTTTCAAAAGTATATAATTAGCTGGGTATGGCAGCACACACCTGTAATCCCAGCACTTGGGAGGTAGAGGCAGGAGGATTGCCATGAGTTTGGCAGACTGAACTACATAATGATTACTAGGCCAGCCAGAGGCTGCATTACAAAAAATAAAAACCCATATACAGATAGTCAGCTAACAACCGTTTATAACTCCAGTTCCAGGGAATTTGACACCCTCTTCTGACTAGTGACTAAATGAATACAAAGTGAATCAAAAAGTTAAATAGAAGGAAATTGGCCTCCAGAATGGGAAAAAAGTACCGTGGGGGGAGGGTACTGAGTTGGTTTGAGACTTGTATATAAAAAAAGTCTGGTCTCTAGCACTCTTAACCTCAGGCTCCTCTTCTGAAAATGGGCACCTACTATATTGGGGCCTGATCCTAATATTAGTTCCTAGTGAGATGTTGGGCAGGAATATGCCTAACACGAGGGTAGTCACACTTAGCTATTTAAAGGCAATGAGACTTCCTGGGAAGCTGGACCTACTTGTGTGTCTGGCATCCTGCTCCCCTGTACCCTTGCTTGGATCATTCTCTCCTTCCTCAGGCTAAAGCATGACAGGGTGGGAAGGCTCAGGGCCCTGTCCAGCAGTTCCCAAGCCCCAGAGAGCAGCTGCTGATGTCCTGTTCTACTTGCCCACAGTGATCGGCTGGCCCTCCTGCAGGTCAGAAGGATCCTGCAGCAGCTGGGCCTGGACAGTACATGTGAAGACAGCATTGTGGTGAAGGAGGTGTGTGGGGCTGTGTCCCGGCGGGCGGCCCAGCTCTGTGGTGCAGGCATGGCTGCCATTGTGGAAAAGAAGAGAGAGGACCAGGGGCTGGAGCACCTGAAGATCACCGTGGGTGTGGATGGCACGCTGTACAAGCTGCACCCTCAGTGAGTGCCTGTGAGGGTCTTGGGGAGTGGGGCAGAGGGAAGGCATGCTCCAATCAGGGGTGGACTCATCTTCTTCCCTTCCCACTGTGCAGTGGGAAGATGCCACCCCATCCTTTGCTGGGAAGGTAATAAGCATGCTAGAGCTGGCTGCTGCTGTTAAACAGAGACAAGGGCTGGTGCCTCTGTGTCCTGGCTGTCCACACAAGGCTGGTAGTAAGCCTCTAAACCTCAGCCAGGGTCCTCATCTGTGCCAGGTCAGCAGCAATGACCTTTGCCACTTAGGTGGCATGCATACAGATTAAACAGACAGCACATAGCACACTACAGTCCCACTTGATCTCCTAGGGCGGGTCAGCATGGCACAGAGTGCTAGTCAGGGATGGGCACGCTGTCATTTTCTCAGCTCAGAGTCAGTGGACAGACAGCTTAAGAGCCCTGTCACACAACTTAGGGTTGACCCCTGGCCTGCCTTATGGAAGCCAGCTAGGGCTAGTAGTGTCTTACCCTTTTAGAGTCACAAGTCTTTTTCTGTGGAATGAGGACAAAAGAAATCATATTCATAGGTTGTTGTGAGGCTTAAGTTTAATAGTATCACTAATGGAAGCTATTGTTTTTATTCAATGTTTCCAATTTTATTTCTATGACAAGAAAATGTATTAACTAGCTTCTAAAATTCCTGTGGTGCTGACAGCTGGTTCACAGCTTCTTTCAGTTTGCTGCTTGGGGGCATATATTTGAGGGTTTGTTTTCCACAATTTTTTTAAAACTATATTTATTTTGTGTGGTGTACATGTATGTGTGTATGTATGCGTGCCATGGCACACACATGGAAGTCAGAATGGGAGTTAGTTCTCTCCTTTCCTTTCATCATGTGGAGTCTGGGGATTGAACTCAGGTCATCAGGCCTAGCAGCAAGTACCATTACCCACTGAGTCATTTTGCCAGCCCCAAATCCTCTCTCTTGAACTAAGACTTGACCAGAGGCTAGAAAGAAACCATATAATCCTTTCAAAAGCACCGACAAAGAACAAAGTCCAATGCCCGTACAGGATAAAAGCACTCAAAACTAGGACCGAGAGTATCTCCTTAACCTGGTAAGGAGGCCCTGTGAAAGCCCACAGCTAATACCACAGTTGGCTGATGATTGTGTGGAGTTTCCCTGCTTAAGGTCAGGAAGGAAACATAATCTGCTGATCCCTCATGCAAGAGCTCATGGCATTTCTCCCTCTTTGTCCCAGCTTCTCTCGAGTTCTGCAGGAGACAGTGGAAGATCTGGCCCCTCAGTGTGACGTGACATTCATGTTGTCAGAGGACGGCAGTGGGAAGGGAGCGGCTTTGATCACTGCAGTAGCCAAGAGGTTACAGTAGTCATGGAAGGAGAACTAAGGGTCCCCTGCCAGGCCTGGTGTATTGCTGATGCTGACCAGACCTTGCTCTGCGGATGAGTCAGCCAGGGACCAGCAGGCAACCTCCTGACTGATCGTCCCTTACCCATGGCCGAGGGAGAACTAACCCCAGGTTCTTGGATACTCAGCATCCTGTTACTGGCTTTCCAATGACAATGGCACCTCCATTTGACATATTTGAGCTGAAGATGGACCAACTTATGAAATCAAAGTATCTGGCCTGAGAGGTCCCTTTTCAACACATTTCCAGTTTAGGCCTGAGCTATCAGGGTTCTATGGCTTCAGGCCCTGTGGCTGCTGGACTTGGAATCTGCCCAGGGGTCTGGTGATCACATTCCTCGCTGGCAAACTGAAGCTGCCTCTGGCAGTAGGTCAGGGCCTCAGCTTGGGGATGAGTCTTTGAGAGGGAGAAAGACCATAATAAATGAGGGTACTTAATCTAACCTGTCCTTGTCGTGCTGGCTTCACGGGAGCCTTGAGAACAAGATTGGCTGAACATTCATCTCTGAATATGGGGGAGCTGATTGCCCTGGAGCCTGAGGGATCTTTCTTGCTTTGGAGGCTGTGTGAACACCTGAGGTTTCATTCTGCATGTATGTGTCTCAGAGTGAGACAACTCGAAGTGTCTGTTTCATTTTGCATGTGATATGGTTGGCGTCACCACAGTTGGTGTTGCTGCAGGCGATGTCTGTGCCAAGGAGTGTTAGGTTCATGAGATCAGGCCAGTGATAAAAGAAATTTGGTTTCCCAAGAAACTTGCCATGAGATGTTAATCTTTTTTCTGAGGGGCTCATTTGGTATCTCCATGTCTTGTCAGTAGAATAAGGGACCCATAGGGTCAGAGGTGCTAAGAATCTCCATCCAGACTTCCTGCCAACAAGTGGAAACGGATAGAACATCCGCAGTCCTTAATAGATTATTCACTTTTCATTAGAATGATCACTAGTGACTGGGCATTGACCACGTGATCCTATAGCTCTTACTCTTGAGCAGCTGTGGTCAACTGGAAGTCTTACGTCTGTGTATGTGTGTGTATTCATATATGTATGGGGTGTGCATCATACATGTGCACTTGCATGTGGGGGCCAGAGGACAACCTTGGGGGTCTTCCTCAGAAACACCACCTACCTCCTTTGACACAGCATCTCTCATTCACCTGGAACTCACAGTGAGGCAAGACTGGCCAGCGAGCCCCAGGGAGCCTCCTGTCTCCACCTCCCCAGCACTGGGATTACATGCACACCACCACCACACCCAGCATTTTTACCTGGTTTCTGCAGGTGGAATGCAGGTCCTAATGTGTGTGAGGCATCACTCTACTGACCAAGCTAGCTCCCACCCCTGGAAGCCCTTCGAACTCCCCAGCAGCCCTCTTCCCACACACCCCATCTGCCTCCATTCTGCCCTTCAAAACTATTTGGAGTCTCATGTCCCTGCCCCTTTCTTCAATAGACATCCCTTCCTTTCTCTCTTTGTCCCCAACATTCCTTTGACATGCCTGAGACTATCTCTCTTGTCACATGACTACATGAATTTCTTACCCAGTCTGATAGATTGAAAGCCTGTTGCTAGCCACATTTTTATTTGAGGGGTGAACCCAAGACTGTGTCATTCTGAACAAGTATTTACAGGATTTTAAAAGTTAAGCTTTTTGAGATTTTCCTTGGGAAAAAAATTTAAGGGTCATTATCATGGGAAACAAATCAAGGAGAGGAATTTTGAAAATATCTGGTTGATTTAATTTGATGTGCTTGTCATACAATTTCAACTCCACAGAGCTCCTCTTCCTGAGGAGACAGTCCCCAGTTCTGTGTCACCATGTGCTGAAGCAGGATATTCAGGCAGGTAGAATCAGGGAGACTAGGTCTCAGTGAGAGAGGCCAGCCAGGGCTGGGGACAGATGAGGTCGCTGAAGGGGCCCTAGGAAGTGTTTTCCCAGTCAGTGAACATGTATGGTGCTGAGACTGTGAACAGATTGGAGATGTACCAATCCTAATCTTTTCTGTATTTTAAGGCCGTGCTTCTCTGGAGGAATGTTTTAGGATTTGTTGAATTTATTTATTGTTTTTTTAATTTTTAGTCTTTTTGAGACAGGGTCTCCTTATAGCCCCAACTGGCCTGGAACTCATTATGTAGACCAGGCTGGCCTTGAACTTACAGAGATCTGTCTACATCTGCCTCCCAAGTGCTGGGACTAAAGGTGTGTGCCACCACACCTGGCATGAATTTATTTTTGTATTTGGAACTTATACCTCTTTAGGGAAAACAATCTCCTCTTTTGGGCTTAATTTTTTTTCCTCTTTTTTTTTGGTGTTTGTGTGTGTGTGTGTGTTTGTGTGTGTGTGTGTGTGTGTGTATGTGTGTAGGTGCACATGTGCTATGGTGCATATATGGAGTTCAGTGGACAATTTTCAAGAGTTGGTTCTCTCTCTACCATGTGGGTTCCAGGGATTGAACTCAGGTGGTCAGATATGGTGGCAAACACCTTTACCCACTGAGCCATCTCACTAGCCCCTCCATTGGTCTTTTTGGGACAGAGTCTCACTATACAGCCCAGGTTGGCCTTGAACTTCTGGCGATCCTTCTGCCTCTGCCTCCTGACCTTACCCCATGTAATTTCGTGAGATTCTGTCTTAATCAACTGGAAATCTGGCTGCCCTATTTTTCCCAAGATCTCTCATTCCTGGGTACCATAGCCTCAGTTTCCAGTCCCCCTGGGTCTGCAACATCCTTCCTAGACAGATGATCTGGCCCAGAGATTCAGGCTGCTGTTCCTCTGAGCCCTCCCTTGGTCTCTTAGCTCATGTATGCGAGTTCGGGGTCCTCTCCTAACTCTGATCTCTTGGAAGAAAAAGAGCCTCAATATAACTAGGCAACCTTGCCCATTCTAACTAATTAATGACATCACAGAGTCTTTTAACCTGGAAGAAAACTCCAGAGAGGGCAGACATCCATCCCGTGACAGCACGGGCTAGCCCCTGAAACACCTGGGCCAGTAAAGGGGCCACTTCACAGGGGTTACTAGGCCAAACCAGCTGCACCAAGGTAAACTGCCTTCAGGAGAGCCTTGTACTTTCCTCTTAAGAAGATAATCAGACTAAAGATATGTCTTGGTTGGTAGAGTGCTTGCCTGGCATGGATATGATCCTGGATTTGATTCCTAGCACCACATTAACTTGAAATCATAATGTCCTCTGATCCCAGCACTCAGGAGGTGGAGGAAGCGAAGACAGGGATCAGATGTTCAAGGTCATCCTTGACTACATAGTGAGTTCAAGGCTGGCCTGGAATACATACAACCTCACTTTAAAACAAAACAAAAGTAGCAGGGATGGGGGGGAGCATCCTTTTCTAAATTTTATAGTAACCTTTGGCATAGAAAGGGCTGACAGATATAGGTTTAAGAAGTAGATGTCAGGGCTGGAGACATGGCTCACCATTAAGAACACATAACTGGTTCTGCTCTTCCAGAGGACTTGAGTTTGGTTCCCAGCACCTACTTTGGGTGACTGACAATTGCCTATAATTCTAATTCCAGCCAGTGTTCAATGCCTCTGGTCTCCATGGGGACCTGCATGCACAGACACACACATGTACACATAATTTAAAATAATTAAGCCTTTAAAAAAAAGAATTAGGTTTTCCCTAATTCCCTAATTCCCTTTTCCCTAATCACCCTGCCTTTTCAGACCAGTTGACCTCACTCTATTTATTGTGTTCAGAAATCTTGTCTTTTTTCCCCACTGGCAAGAAAGGGGGCTCACTGGGAATAAAGACAGTTCACCTCACCCTGTGGTCCCAGAGCCAACTATGGTGGCTGGCATTAAGCAGCCTTTGGGCAGTTCTTTATTTTATACAAATATTTTATTTTTTATTTTAATTTTATGTGTATGAGTGTATTGCCTGCATGTATGTAAGTGCATTCATGTTGTGCAATGCCCATGGAGGTCAGAAGAGGGCATCAGATCCCCTAGAATTGGAGTTATGGACAGTTGTCAGCTGCCACGTGAATGCTGGGAATCAAAGCTGGGCCTTCTGCAAAAGCAATCAGTGCTCTTAACTGCTGAGCCATCTCTCCAGCCCTTGGGCAGTTCTTTAAATGAATCAATTTACTACTTGTATTTGAATCTCTCTGTTGGCCTATCTCACCTCATGGCACTCATGCTTTAGACACAGTAGATCCTCTCTAGGGGATGGTTCAATGGGCATCAAGTCCTGTTGCAGGTGTTGAGGACCCAAGGAAATATGGCACCATTGCTGCCCCATAAGAGCTTACAGGCAGCAAGAGAAAGAAATTCACATGTCTGCAATACAGCTTTAACAAGGACAAGGTGAAGACGCATCTGACCATGCCCTTCACCCTTTAGATCGGGAACTCCCAGCCTCTACATGTGCTCCTCTGTGCCTGTGTACCACAGACCCTTTTAGCAATAGCATGAAACCTAGGGATCTTTTCTCAGAATAATATTTTAAGTGTATAAAATAAATAGAATTACAAAAGAACTAATGGTATTACCATACAGCTCTTAAGGAAGTGAAGCCAGGGGCTGGAGAGATGGCTCAGCAGTTAAGAGCACTGCTGTTCTTGCAGAGGACTCAGGTTCAGTTCCTACCATCCACATGGCATCTTACAACCTTCTATAACTCCTATTTCAGGGGATCTGATGCCATCTTCTGATCTCTGAGGGCATTGCAGGCAGGTGGTGCACTTACATAGAGACAAAACACCCATAAAATAAAAATAAACACATAAAATAAAAATAAAATTGAGCCAGGTGTGGTGGTGCACACCTTTAGTCCCAACACTAGGAAGGCAGGGGCAGGTGGATCTCTGTGAGATGGAAGCCAACCTGGTCTATATAACAAATTCCAGACCAGCTGTATGGTGGGGAGGCTGAGGCTGGGGGATCACAAGTTCAAGATTAGTTCAGGCTATATAGAGAATTTTAGGCTAGTTTAGACTACATAGTAAACATCTATCATTTTTCCCCATGTCTTTTTGAGACAGGGTCTCCCTGTAGCTCCAGTTGGCCTGGAACCCACTATGTAGACCAGGCTGGCCTTAAATTCACAGAGCTCTGCCTGCCTGTCTCCTGAGTGCTGGGATTAAAGGCAAGTACCACCATGCCCAGCTAGTAAGTATCTATCTTAACCTCCTCCCACCAAAAAAACAAGAAGAAAATGTTAACATAGTAATAATGTACTTATTTATTTGTTATATAGTGAGATCCAGTATAACATGATTACAATAATCATTTTGAAGTTCTGATTTGTATAAACAATATTTTGAGGCATTTGCAACAATACTGAAAAAAAAGTCTGTGATTTTTGGGCTGGTGAGATAACTCAGTATGTAAAAGTACTTGCTGCTGACTCCCACAAGTTGTCCTCTGGCCTCCACATGCCTGCTGTGGCAATGCCATCCTCCCCCCATAAATGCAAACAAAATTTTTAAATCTGTAGTTTCTATTGTAGATAAAGCTGCAGGCACTGCTGACGCTAGTACGGTTCTGATCTTCTAGAAGCATTTAGAATTTTCTTTGTTTTGTCTATATATTTTCAATCTGAGGCTCTTCATTTTTGCTAATTGTAAGAAATGTATGTTTTTTGTCCAAAATATTCTCCATCTCTCTTTTATTTGCTTCTTTCTGGAACTCATCATCTGGATATTATCACTTTTACATCTAGCTTCCATA